TATTTATAAAGCCTATATCTTAAAATTCTAAACCCTAAAAAATGTTTTGACACCTAAAACCCCCTAAACAGCAAACTAAACCCTAATAGAACATAATTAACCCAAAAAAATATAATTTTGAAAAAGTGGCATTTTTGTAAAGATTTCAAAAGTGTGGCATTTTTGTAAAGTGGCACTTGAAAAATGGCATTTTTGTAAAGTGGCACTTGAAAAGTGGTATTTTTTAAAATTTTTCATAAAACATCACTTTTTATTTACCCAAAATATTTTAACCAATAATAAATCAATCTGCAGAATTTAAAGAGTCAAAAATACTAAAAAATCAATTAATGGTGCATTGAAAAGTGAAAATATCTTATATTAACAAACAAAAAAAAACCTTAAAACATCCTATACTAGGGATTGTCCACGCATTGCGTGGGTTTTAAAAATATGGTAAAAATTAACATTAATAATTTCTATTCATTGATTATTTGTGTATTTAAAATTATATAAATTTGGTGTTTATAGTAAATAATTATCTAAGTTAGAAGATTAAGCATTTGTACAAAATTGTTGGACATATACAATGTTATATATGAAAAGAAATAGGTCGTTTATTAATAAAAATCACAGCATATGGAAGACATCTTCTTTTGCACAAATCTTTAACTTGTATGACTGAATCAAATATTCGCTACGGTTTCCTAAAAAAATGATTGGTCGCTTTTTTGCATCAAAAACACTGTAAAAATCTATTGATCAGTCAAGTTGTAGTATGTTTTGTTTTTACCGAGACATCTACATCATCTCAACAGAAGTGTTGGAATGCATCTCTTTTTTTATTTCATTAGAACATTGAATCATAAAGAGAGATATTTGATGTTTGATTGTATTTTTTTCTCACTATATTTATCGTTTTACTGTGATTTTTATCTTTGATATCAATTCATTGGTGAAGTGATTTTGTTTTTGTGGATTTACAATTTGTGGTGAAGTAAAGTTTTCTTTCAAGAGTCTTGGTTAGAAACGTTATTTTGTCCAACAGAAATTGTTTCAATTGCATTAGAGGGTGATTGGAAAATTGGCTTTAAAAACTATGAAAACATTTAAAAAAACGTTTAAAATCTAAATTTCTCCAATCAGACTTGTTTTATTAAATAGTCCTAAAAATTCTAAAATCA